TTCGCATATATCTTTGTTTCAGCAACTTTGCAAAATAAATTTTGTTAAGATTCTGGGATAAAATGGTCGGAACTTTTAAAAAGTTCACTAGAAGTTAACAGTTCTTTTAATAAGTGTTTTTATATATTCTACACAACGTCATGTATTTTCGGATTCAAATTATGTCGGTGTATTGAGATAAGATTAGCAAAAGTTGAATATTAGAATTAGCATCAAATGCTTTAATTCAAAGGTTTGTAAAGATGCTCAATATGCAGCACTTTAATTTAAAAAATATACATCTCACTCTTAAAGATAGCGTTTTATTTCGTCATATTTTTAAGCTAATTTATTGTTAATTATTTTCAAAAGATTTCATATAAATAATAAGTGAATCAAGCGTCAGTTGACGCACTTGCGGTGGGAGTCGAATGTTGCAAAGGTGGTAAAAAATTAATAATATGACACACCTGAGACACCCATATAATAAACGCCAACGGAAACTTGTTAAGTTAATTTATAGGGGAAGAAATCTGCTCCATTATAGAGGGGTGACTAAGCGTCAGATTCATGAACTTGTATATAAAATATGTAATACAAATACGCCAAATAAAACTGAAATAGGGAATTTATGGAGTTATAATAAACTGGTAGGTAGCTGGCGGACAATACGCTTATTAGTCGTACAACATCCACTTTCCATGTCAAAATCCGACATTCCAACTATCTTTTGCGCTATCACTGCATTGTTGATAAATGGTGCGTTCCACTAAGCGCTCACGACGATCAAAATGCTCCTTTAGCCATTGCACATACCGACCGCGGTCGTTGTGGTCACGGCGAAAACGTCACTCATGACGTCATGACTAATGCTCACGCAACGCTCACAACGACCCATCTAAAGAGGTGGGTCGTTGTGAACGTTGAGAATAATTTGGCGCAATTTTTGAAATGTTTTTTGAAATATGACAAATAATAATATTATTATATTCAAAGCTTAAAGATGGCGACACACATTATTTGATTCAGAAAGAGAAATTGTAAAGCCATTTCGATTATATTTAAACTTAAGTTGTTTGATAACTTCACCAAAATTATTTATAAAATATTCAATTATTCTTCACTTTTAACATAATAATAATAAATTTAAGTCACAAATATCAAAACTTATTGTTTATGATTACCTAACCTCCTTAAAATTCTACTATTTTCAAACTTGACATTTGTAATATTTACATGAACGCCCGAAACGCTCCATAATCCATTCCACTTGAGTTAACGACAGTAACATTCACAATCAAGTGGAATGGGGAAATCAGCGGTCGTGAGCGCTTAGTGGAACGCACCAAATATCATTGATAAACGTAGCATTCCATGTCATTTAAAAAAAATACCTAACAATTAACAAAATTGAAAACTATTATTTTTTATAAGCGCAGACAAGCGCAATTATGTTCGATTACTCGCAAAATCTAGGTATTAAAAGGTTCTTGTAAACACATTCGGAAAAACTTCTACAGGAATAGTAATTATAAGGGACCCAGTTACTCTGCTTCTGTCCATAGCGAGCAGATAGGGCCATTGTGGTTTGGTAGGTAGGGGTCAATTTCACCTGTGGACCGACCCCTACACTCCCCGCGTCACGGCTTTAATAAACTGACCCGGCGCAGGGTCTGTAAATGGACAAAAGAAGACAGTGTCAGATAATTTGTTAAATCAAATGAAATGCTAGTTCTGACATGTAGACTTTCGTCAACTTGATACTTAAATTCGACCAAATGACAGCGTTGAAATGAATTGATTACTTTCTGAAATTACTTTTGAATTCATTCCAAACTTTTCACCGACACATTTGAATTTGTTCAGAATATTATCAGGTAGGGAATGTCAAAATCTATACGGAAAGCAGATTACTATATGTATAAGATGATCAAAGACTTTTTTGAGAAAACAATAATCAGCCTTCTGTCACTTGTTGACGAATTTTAAATTTGAGACATGAAGATGCCCTTACGATGTTTTCCTTCACCGTACAGGCGAGTAGACAGTCCTTTGGTTCACACCCAAAGATTGAACCTATCACCTAAAAGATGAGAGTCGCATGATGAAGCCACAGAAAAGAAAAGTAAAAATGTCATGCAGATGCTTGAATTAAAATAGTGCACAGCAAAATCTGTGGTAAACACAGTTTGCGGCATAGACCGGGCAATCGACATAATTTTAAAAACTTATAAGTAGTTGCTAAGAGGTCTTTGTTGGCCAAAGTTTTAATAGATTTAAATTACTTTTAGTTTTATGCACGACTTGCAAAGTTTTGTTGGATTAATTAACTTTAATATTAATACCAGTAGAACTAGATTGCGATAGGTTTCTTTTATAAGATGCGACCTGCTTCGTCTGCGCTGATATATGTCATTCATTATTTTTTTGATGGTGGTTCTGCTATTAGTAGAATAAGATGGTAGTATCTAATTAACAAAGGTATCTCCTGCTCTCTTCGTGCCATAAAAAGTATGTATACGACTACATGCATACATAAAATGATATTATTGATTTAACTAAATTATTATTTATAAATCAATGTACTTGAAGCTTATAGATTCTAATGTGTGCTGTACAACTTGCATCGCGGGTAACGGAAAGCGTTAATTCTCGTTGTTAGTACAGCTTTCGTCATGTTCGCTCGGCTGGTGTCCGTCTCGTTTATCTAACACATAAATAGGCAGAGGCAATTGAGTCCTAGGGGGAGGCGCTCGCGGTAAGTTTGGACATAGCAAAAGCCTCTTCTATCGGGTGTGGCTCTGAGCGCTTCTTTCGAAGCTCTTAGCGTATGGGCTCCCAAGGAGATTATGCAATTAGATTTGCAGCTTTCTCACTAATAAGAATCGCTGATGGAGCATGCTCCAACTTCAAACCAGTGAACAACAAGGCTGTGTCCCATCCCCGACCCTGTTTATTCTGCATATCAATGATATCGGGCGCATAGTATAGCAATGAATGCTGATTGCATTGGGGATACTCTTAAAACTACCTGTGCAGGCATTTCTCGGGCGGTTGTAGATCAGTATCGGAATAAACTTGTATCTGAAGTCGAAACTCAGTGACGGTATTCAGTCACTCAGAACGCTACGTGGACGACTTAATCTTGTGCGTTTTCCGCAAAAAAAAATCCTCAGTCGCTGCTTCAGAGACACTCTTCTTAAAGCCTCTGCCATCATCGGAATATTGGGCATTGACATATCGAATGAAATTCAGCTTTGCGGTCATTTGGAAGAGAAGGCTAATTTAACGTCCAAAAAGCTTGGTGTACTCAGTGAGGCGAGACGGTACTTCGCCCCGAACCACCGGACCTTGCAACGCTATCAAACGCAAATTCGGTCTCCCGTGTCGTACAGTTCTAACCTCTGGGTGGAAGCTCCCCAGTACCTTCCACTTAGCCGTATTCAACGAAGAGCGATTCGAATCGTCACCGACCAGTCACTTTCCGAGCGGCTTGATCCTTTAGAGTTGCGTATTGATACGCACCGCCACTTTGTCGAACCAGCTGCCCACTGAGGTATTTCCGAACCAATTATGCTACTTAGGGTCCTTCAAAATAAGAGCGTTCCAATTCTTAAAAGGCAGTGTGAGTGTCCTTGGGCGGTCCTTATCACTTAGCATCAGATGAGCCTCTTGGCCGTTTGCCCCTGTTCTATAAAAAATAATAATGTTTGCTAGAACTATCTATTCATTAATTATGGATTATCGGTAGTTGCACATGAGTTTCGAAATTAAACTGAAAATGTAAGTGAGCGGTTATAACATGAAAAATTCATATATCGGCCCCACCGCCCCTTGAAATTCATATTTATGAAGTATCAAGAGTTATCGGCAAGTGAATGTAAGCATAAATTAATCAGAAACATCTTGACACATGTACTTGAATTGGAACTTTGTGTACCACATATTTCAGAACAATTGATTTACTAATATGATAATTTTCTGTTTAAAAATTTTTTGAAGAAAACCTACTACTTGAAATGTTTGCACGTTTATTTTGACAAAAGTCCACTGTTGATTTTTCTAAAAGAACTACTTTGATGTTTATGTATAGCAGACTTTGTAATGCAATATATGTTTAGAAGACCGATAAATCATTTTTACTAACTATGTGTCTATTCAAACGCAAATCTTTAACTATTAAAAAAAATATTATATATTAATAAACTGATTAGCCGTCGCCGTCAACAAATATTTAAAACATGTTTATAAAGGATTATTTACGCCCTTTAAATGTTTTTTTTTTCAGATTAATTAATATCTATTTCCGTTGATAAATTTGTTATCTCATATTATGCAACAATTATGCAATTTCTGGGGGCCGATTATCTGCGGAATAAAAGTCGGCAATCTTCATCCTTTCTTTAATAACTTGGAAACATGATTATTAATCACTAATTTATTTTATAATTATTAATACTTAAGATTAGACACAGATATCATATATATATATAATCTTATCTCTACAAATTAAATGATTCACCGTAATATCTGAGAAACGAAAATTATATACACAGAATGCGAGAGAGTGAGTTTACCCTTTTAACACTTTTAATTTTTAAATTATAAGATATTATTAATGCATGTATCTTAAAAAAAACTTGTGATCCTTTATAATTGTACACTGTAACATATGTCATATTTGTCTATAAAGTGGCATAACAGAAAAGAAAACGATTATAGTTACACATTGTTTTTATTATAAAAAGATTGCTCATACAAGCTTCGAGTTCTGGGCAAGAGTTGGAGTTTTTTATTTTACTTAAAAGTACCTCCGCTTGCCTAACTTCCTACCACGAAATATCTTAATAATATGTCGTAAGATGTCAAATTGTATCTTAAATATATATTTGCATGAGTTACGCCAAAATAAACTATGGCGTTAGTGAGTAAATAAGTTAGCAATTATGCTATACAAAATTCACAGTAGTTCTAACTATGATTTTTTCGAGATTATAATATTTAAAAACTATTTATTAATATTACATTTTCTTAACTTTAATTCTAATTGGAAGTAAAAGGTGTGGCAGTAACCTTCTTAAAAGAAATCTTAATACAACCACTACAATAAATAATGATAATAACAGTACAGATACTACTGTTAAAACTAAAGTTACTTCATAGTACTTCCAATGAGAGACTCCAAAGGCTGGTGACCGCAAATGTGAGCCTCCGTGTTTCAAAATATGTTCAGTCCACCATACAGCCAAATCCAATGGTTTCACAGGAAATTCACGCATCAGAGTGCGCAGTTTAAGTATATTTGTCTTGTAGCTGTAAGGAAAATATGATTTAAAATGGCTTATCTTAAAATATACACATTACCAAAATTTGCATACACATTAAACCTGCGCCTATGTGTACAATACCAATGGAAATTGAAACAATTAAAATCGGTGTATAAAAAATATTTTTATAAAAAAAAATCGCAAGTCATTTTTATAAATGAATAATTTATCGCAATAGAATCTTATAGCCAAAGACTTTGTATCACCTTACTATGTATGCCAGTAATTATACTCTTAAATGTCTATTTAAAATTTAATAGATAGTTTAATAGCGTTAATAGATGAACATATCGGTGCTATATTTAGTACTATATACTCTTTTCCTTTTATTATTTATCTACTTCAAGCGTAACGCTATAAAAGAAAATATATTTGTGTGACACCATTCATACCTCCGTCAAGTAATTAATGACTATAGTAATAGATACACGGCCCCTTTACTAATCAGATATCGTAAATCCGGAAACCATTATCGCAATCCGCTATATCTGTGTTGTTATTTTCATTTTTCTTTGTAAAAACTGAAATTGGACTTGAAAAACATGACTTATTTCCATATTCAATTAGACCTCAAATCACTAATACCTTTTATCTTCAATCACACTCCTTATAGCTGTACGAAATTGTTCTTCGGACAAAGCGTGTATATCGAGTTGGATGCCAATTTGGTGCTGTTTATATCTTTCAGTGTTGTACCATTGGTCTCCAAGCATGGGGATTCCGATGACTGGTACTGCAGCGTTTATTGTCTCGTCTGTAGACTGGAGACCTCCTTGTGTGATGAAGAGTTTTATATTTGGATGTTCTGAAAAACATTTGAATTAGTATAACATTAATTATGATTCATATGAGACAAGAAAATCTTAATTTAAGCTGTATGTAAAACTATAAAATCTCAACAGAACGGCTCTTATCAACATAGTATATTGTTTTTATTATTTATATAATATATAAATATTAAAATCATATCGTGGGCTTCAATTAATTTAAATGTTTTCAGACATTTTCTTACATAACTGTAATAAAATCTATTCAGAGAGGCATTCACTACATTTTCACGTAAATCACGTACGTTGAGGCAGAATTAAGATATTCTTATTTTAACAAATAATACTAAACAGCTGATCATAACTCCGCCACCATGTTAATAGGATATGTTATAGTTTTTTTTAAATCCCTCTAAACGCTGTATTTTGAAATTTATTTGAAAACCGTTAAAAAAAGTTTGGTCTTTATCGATAAGGGGGTCAAATAACAGTTAATCTTAAACACTTAAAATTGTGCCAGTGCACCTCGTAGCAAATTTCTTCGCTGTATTGTGATGTATATAGGCTAGCGTAAAATGTACCAACATGTGATTATACCAGACGCAGTACAAAGTAAATATTATATTTATATATGCATTGGTATGTATATCAGTAAAAAGGTCTTCACATATAACTATCAAATTAATGTATATAAAATATTATAAAAAAACTATTTTACATGGGTAAGTATGGAGTTTTTTGCCCATTCTTCAATCCACGGAACTAGCGTAATTTTATTTTATATATTTTTAATTAGTAATTTTGACTTCCAAAAGTGCCTATTTAATAATGCTAATTGAAATAAATGAATTGACTTTGACATTAAAAAGTAGCATTTATGATGTTTTTCATATGTGCTCGCCTTAAAATACAAATGACAAAAACTTAAAAATGTGAAGAATAAAAATTTCGAATAGAAACCACTTTTGTTAGCTGTTATCACTTAATAGTATAAACTATTGACCTTTGTTAAAATAATGATAGGTTATCTTTAACCCACAGACATTAATAAAATAACAGTTTATTTAATTCTCGCTTATTTCTTATATCTTTTATACCAGACTTATAAAAAATATAAACACAATTTTCTATGTTAATGAATCCGTGTAGCTTTTTTGACACATTCACCAATGTATGTATTCCGAGGGAGTCGGTACGGAATAAGTTTAAGGAATTAAATATTATGACACTATCTGGTCAATATATTCTTGAAGCCTTGTTGTATGTCCAAAAAAATATAAACGATTTTAAAACAAATGGTGACTTTCACCAGTATAATACGCGAAATAGAACTAATTTGAGCGTACGACCAACCAGGCTCCAAAAGATAAACCACTCCTTATATGGAAATTGTATTCGTTTTTACAACAAACTCCCAAGCGAAATTAGAGTAGGTATTATCACTAAATAAATTCAAAGCCCTTGTTAAACGAAAATTAATCAACAAAGCCTTTTATAAATTTGAGGACTACTTAAATGATCCTAATCCTTGGGATTGAATTGCTCCAGTTCAAACAATTTGTATGACAATACTTGGCGATTAAAAAGAGTGGCGGAAAGTTTCTTGCCAGTTCTTCTTACCCGCTCTACGCCCTTGACTTGCGAACTGGTAGTAAATGTAAATTTATGATTAATTTAACTTGACGATTCAAAAGTGTACTTGGTTACCCACTTGAATAAAGATATTTTGAGTTTGAGTATGCGTAAGAGTAATTTAGTCTCCGTAATAACAGAGTTATGATGAAACTTACTGAGTAGTTGAGCTTGTGGGAACCACTTTGAAGTTTTCACATTTTTCGGTTTCTGAGGTAATTCCGTGTCCCATTTCCATAAAACGTTGTATGGCAGAGTAGAAAACACTTTTAGCATAAGTTCAACCTTCTCTGACGGAAGATTAGATGGTTTCACATTTGTTCCAAAACTTATATAAATGACTCCGTGTTTCGACGCATCGAGATAGGTTTTCAAATCCTGAAATAAAAGATGCCGTTAGATTTTATACAGAACAGTAAATATATCACAACAGAAGGAAATAATTAAACGTGATAGAAAAAGGAAACATAATATAAATTATTTATTCTGATTTATGCATCTATTATATTCATTCATTGTACTAAAACAGTATTTCAATAAATTATGTATCAATACCTGAGGAAGGTCGTCGTGCTGGGTTTGGTGAATACCACCCATAAAGATAACATTTGATGGCACAGGATGATTATGGGCCCAGATGGGGTGTTCATTCAGAAATAACATTTGCACATATTTGTCCATCAATTCTTCAAAAGGTGGCAGGTCTTCACCAAAATTTCGTCTCGCCATGGCATAATCAGAGTCATACATAACACTCTGTAGGTGGTCTAGCGTCAAATGTTTTAAGAATTCGAAAATCTTTTCAAACATAGTCAAGTTGTAGATGCGCACGTTCAGAGGTGTGGGATACAAGAGAGGTTGGGAAGGCGCCCCAAAGAAGCCAAAATGAGAAGGAGATGTTCCAAACGAACTAAATTGAATGATTGGTGCCTTCAATAAATGTCCAAGACCAAGAGTTGTTCGAACACTCGATTCTACAACAATCAGATCTATATTATTTTTTTCTTTTCTTAACATCTTCTTAACTTCAGGCATTTGCAACTGCAGGTCAAATGTACTTGTAAATCTCTCAAATAAGTTCACTATCTGTTGAAATATATTTTCTTTTTTTCCGTTATGTGTATCCAGTACGTCTTCCCAGTTCTTATATGATATATCGTGGACGTCTATTTCTGTTAGATTGGCAGGTGTATCGCCTTTTGGAAAAGCTGGATCCGTAGTTACTATGATTACTTCATGTCCCCGTTTTGCTAATTCGTGCATCAAAGGACGAAACACAACTTGATGACTTATTGAGGGCGTGGGAAAATAACCAAGAATTTTCGAACATTGTATTACGCGAAGATTTAAAATTAACACACAAATGATAGTACACGCGCGTAGCATCTTGAAATGATACTGAAGTGCTAATTGATATCGATATACTTTATCAATTCTTTCCAAATCATGTATTATTGATTAATAATAAAATGTGACTAATTCAAGTAATAAATATCAGAAATTATCTAGAATTGTCGTTGTTGTGATTAAAAGTATTCTAGATAATAAGATTAAGCAATGTATGTAAGATTAAAATAACATTTTAACAAATAAATAGTAGGATCCAGTTTAAAAACTCCCGAAGTTGTGTTCCGAATTATATTAGTTGTACGAGCACTTTCTTTAACTGCTAGTGAAGAAGTCAAACCGTATATGATAGCTTCATCATCGTATTCAACATATATAGGCCAGCTTAACTTGAGTGGTACGTGCTGAGATACTGTTGATGATGGCAGTGCACTGATTATCTGTAAGTCTTTACGCTAATAAATTACTTTTATTAAGGACTTTGGGATCTTTATATACCTCTATAAAGGTTTTGAACTGATTTGACTTTGACGTTGGTAATTTATAAGCTTTATGAGATTTAATGACAATTACAGATGACAGTAACGCCATTGCTTCGACATAATATATTTCTTCTTTGTTTTATTGGTTAATCTTAAACTAGTGAATCAATTCTGATGTATATATGTGAGGCGTAAAAAAATAAAAAGTCTTTTTAATTGACTGAACTAAGTTCGGGGACCTGAGCTAGTGTTACACGTATTATACTTATCAAATTCTTACAAATCGATGTTTTGTATGATACTGACAGATAGGCACAAGATAGTTATTAAAAATAAAAGGTGTTTCATAAATTGTATTAAAGTATCATAAACGGTACTTACACAGTAGGGGCTGTATTTAGGGTGTAATCGACATCGACTCTTGTCAAGTAAGAGAATTCTAAAGTATTTTGAGTAATTTATGCACAATTAATTACTAATATTTAAATATTTATGTGATGTTAATGTCACAGCCAACTAGCGTAATTAGCCGTTCAATTAACAGCGTAGCCTTTTAACTAAACGGCGCCGTTAAACTAGCGGCCTGAAAGATGTTCAGCCAGTTGATCAAACAGCTAGGCAAATGACTTGGATCAATGACATTTCATTACCTGCCTAGCCTGTTGACTGTTAATTTAAATTTAATTCCACTATCTGCCACTCTCAAACTTGAAACGAAACTCTTCGAACTGTCAATATGGCGTCGGCAAACCACCACTTTGATGGTGTTTCCCAAAGTTTCATGAAAAATAACAAGTGCAATGGAAAAGTGTAGTGACAATAATAATGTGAATTTGACTCAAGCAAGTTAATTTTAAAAGAAATATTTTTGTGTCATATGTTTTACCTTTTTTATTTCTGCCAAATAATGCCAAAGAATGGCCTAAGCCTTACCCAGCTACCTAGTTTATTAAATGTTGTAATAAACGCTACGGCTGAATATCTTTCAGGCCGCTAGTTAAACGTCGCCGTTTAGTTAAAAAGCTAGGCTGTTAATTGAACGGATAATTAAGCTAGTTGGCTGCGACATTAATACACCTACGTTTGATGTGATATATCAATATTTGGTTAATGTTTTGTCATGATGCTTGTTTACGTATTTAGAATTGCATCACAGAGAATGCTTCATAAGTATTCAAACCCCGTTACTAAATAAAACAAAAACTATGAAAATATGGTACGATTTAGTTAAACCCCGAGACTGAGATGTGCAGGTCATCTGGAGCGAATGCCGGAGATCATCAGGGCACTAAAGACCGTACTCAATGAATGCCACAGCATAAAAGGCCAAGAGCCAGACCCGGAAAAAGACCGAAAGATTGCGTTGAAGAGGATTTAAGATTGTTTACGAATTGGAAGAAAGTTGCCAAGGATCGTTCAAGAGTAGCTGAAAATAGAGTTTTGACCAATAAAATAGGATTTTTTAATTTAAAACGTAGAAATTAATAAATTTATCGTTGTTAAATATTTTAAAGCTTTATTTGTGTTATGTCTTAAACGCTACATCATTCATTAGCATTTTTAATTACACGATTGTCCGTTTGATGTCGCCAGACTCGCAACTTAATCACGCTCAAGTCGCCGATTTCCATCACTTGACAAAAACTAAGGCCAAGTTTGACTTCTGAGTGTCTCTGAATACGAACGTGACGGATTTTGACATAAGGGAGTCATATCTCGTGCTATGTCTTTTCTGAGTCTACCTTAAAGCACATGTTCTATTTGATTACTAATAGGTCAGTTGGTAGCGCAAAGCTAGAAACAGCTGATACAAGAGATATATATATATATAATGAGGATACCTAATACTTGTCGAATTATGTAATGTTTTCTAATATGAAGTTAGAAGTGGATTACGGAAAACTTCCGTAATACCCAGAGGATCCATAAAACTGACCAGAAAAATTGGAAAAGGGCTAACGGTTATAACGGTTATGGATAACATAAACAACTTGGGTACAAACTTATGTTTGGGAATCGTGTGACGTTAAAATACAGTGAAATATGAAAGCCATTTCTTCCTAAATGCTTTGTAAATATACTTAAGAAAGTATTTTTGACTATAAGTGAGTAACCATGGAATGTCTATTATTTTAGATGGATGATATTAATTTTTATTACTATCTAAGCTGCTTAAAACGAAAAAAAGAATAACGTGTGTATACTTATGTACACGCGTTAGAAGTTATATTTCTTTGGCCTACCAAGAAAAAAATATTTTCAAAAATCTTATTCTACGTTTGTTTTGAAAGTTTTATGATGATAACGTATTATCTTGTTTGAAATTATTATATACGAGTATCTTAGAAAACGCTCAGTTGTGGAACGATGACCGTCGAGTTCTGGGACCTATATTATATTAACGCTACCTACCTACCTATTAACGCTATAAAACGTATCGCTAGAAAGTTTTGTTGAATATATGAATATTTTGACGCGTGGAAACCAACTGGTTGTTGAAAAATCCGCCTAATCATGAGTTACGGCCTCGCCCTCTAGCAGATTGCCAATCTGCCGCCATATTGTGAAAATATAGACAGCTTTTCATAAGCCTTCAATATTTTGCTTCGTTAAAATACAGCCTATATCCATTTCGCACGATAGAAATGAACTGGGTAGCGACGCTTCATTCATTTCGTTTAGCAATATTCTGAGAGATTCGCAATTTTATTTTCTTACTCAACAGCCGTACCAGTAAGTCAAGACATATAATCTTAAGTGGTGCCTTAGTTACAGGAGTAAACAGCACTGTATATGTTACAATACGCGTCTATATAAGAATACAATATATGAAAAATGCCTACGTAATAAGATTCCTCATCACAAGAGGATTTAAATATTAGTTTTTTTTTGTTTTATAAAACAGTTATATAGGAAAAGTAACTGGCTGTCAAAGGTTCCAACCTTTGAATGCGGTCAAGTGGAAGGAGCTGGTACTGGGGAGCTCCCAACGGTACTCTGTGGGTTGATTGGCGCTGTATATAGTTACAAGCGGTTGCACGTAGTGAAGTACCGTCGCGCCTTACTGAGCCACTCGCCAATCCTTTATTTGGCCTACCTAAGCATATATAGTTTAACATACTATCTAATTTTATGAATTTTGAACTTATGTAATAAATAAAAGGTTAATGTATCCGAAGACTCATTGGTCTAGTGGTTAGTACCCCTGACTGCGAATCCATGGGTCCCGGGTTCGATCCCCGGCTGAGACGAACATCGATGTGATGAGCATTTGGTGTTGTTCTTAGGTCTTGGGTGTTTGAATATGTATTTATATGTCTATCTATCTATAATATGTCTATCTATCTATAATATGTCTATCTATCAATAATATGTATGTATATCGGTTTCCTAGTACCCATAACAAAAGCTTCACCAGCTTAGCATGGGACTAGGTCAATTGGTGTGAATTGTCTTTAAAAAAAAATGTAAACGTATGGTACGAATTGAAATGCGTAAAGCGGAAAATAGAAAAAAACAGCTATTTTCTAACTATAGACATTGTGCGCTTTCTACGAAAAACTTGATAATGGAATAATAATAAAAAAAACATTTAAATTATCCTTAAATGATGGAAAAAGAATGATTGTCATAATTTCGGTATAAAGTGCGTCATTATATTTTTCATTCGTAATTAATTCCGATACAAGATTAGATTAATAAATAAGCATTGGCTACATTTTGTGTGTATTAGAAAATAGATTTATATGTACATTAGTTATGAAATGTTCAATATTTTTTGTTGTTGTTACGGAACGTCTGAAAAAGTCTGAAGCCTAGAGGTATATTAGTGTAAATTATTGATATTCAATCTCAGAGATGGTCATCGGTGAGTCGAGATCTTAATTATCAGAATCTCAGAAAACCCTGCTTCACAAATATGCTATACAATCATTGTATAATGTATAGGTAAATAGACAAACTTCTTAATTCCGGGTATTGTAGTTACCCACGAGACGAGACTTCTGAATATTATTTTTCAAAACAGTATTTCTTGAAAATCAATTATTTACAACTGTAGAGCAGGTTTTTATTACCGAAAACTCTTGCAGCTTCATTGCTCCATTCGCCACCCGGATGCAAAGAGTAAATGTTGCAAAGAATTTCCACAATATTCTCAAATTTCTTACAGTTTTTGAATTTTCAAAATCAGATTTAAGATCTTTTATATGTCTTGTAGACAACAATTGCATTGCCTCTTGTCACTATTTTCAAATTAGGAATGTGCAATCATTATCAAGATCGCTATTCAAGAGAGTATTTTGACAAACGTCTGAAGATTCCATAAAACCTTACCTTGTACTTGAAGTTTAAAATTCAGATCATTGATGTGTTTAAAAATGCATGATAAGGAGGCGATAATACATTTTTTTTCGATTAGAAAATGTAAATAGGCATTTGCTAAAACCTGATCACTGGCACGAAATGATTTCAGTTCTTCTAAAATTCCAAAGAATCTTTGTAAAACATGAAGCAAAGGCTTGTTTAACCGCCTTTCATTATTTTGGAGAAGTACTT